CTATCTATCTATCTATCTATCTATCTATCTATCTATCTATCTATCTAAAGATTTGTTTGTTTATTCATTGAAGATTCATTTATTTACTATATATACATTGTTCTCTCTGCATGTATGCCTGTATGCCAGAAGAAGGTATCAGATATCATTATACATGGTGAATCATGTGACTGCTGGAAATTGAACTCAGGACCTCTGAAAGAACAGTCAGTGCTTTTAACCTCTGAGCCATCTCTCCAGCTCCCCAAGGTTCTTTTTTTTCTTTTTTTCTTTTTTTTTTTATTTTCGAGACAGGGTTTCTCTGTAGTTTTTGGTGCCTGTCCTGGAACTAGCTCTTGTAGACCAGGCTGGCCTCGAACTCACGGAGATCTGCCTGCCTCTGCCTCCCAGTGCTGGAATTAAAGGCGTGAGCCACCACCACCCGACCCAAGGTTCCTTTTATAAGAGATATTTTCAAATAAGAATGCTAAAATAGAGTGAGTTGTGCTTAAGGCCTAAGCAGACATGATCTTCGAGTCTAACCTGACTCCTTTACAAGGAGCCAACTGCAACACCCTGGGGCTCTCACATGCACCCTCCCCTTTTCCAGCAGTCCCTGTGGCCCTGGGCTTCACCTCAGCAGTGGCAATCCCATCAATGGAGTCTCAGGCTCCACCTTGGTGTCACTTAAGTCACCCTTTGAGAGGGACCGTCAAAAGCCCCCAAATCCTTTCCATGGCTACTATAAACATACTTCATCAAGGGGCTGGAGAGACGACTCAGTGGTTAAGAGCACTGGCTGCTCCTCCAGAGGACCGGGGTTCTGTTCTCGGCACCCACATGCTGACTGACAACCACGTGTAACTCCAGTTCCAGGGGATCCAACACCCTTGTCTATGCTCCATGGGGCACACACACACTCAGGTTCACACATATACATATAAATAAAAATAAATAAATATACCTAAAAATTTTGAATGGGCATCATCGTGTGTATCTCTTGAGGAACACACACTCACACTTTGGGGGATGTCTTCTGCTTTTCCTACACACCCCTGGGCTCACATTATCCCCCATGCTGATATCTGTGTTAAAATCCCTTAATAAACTCCAACTTTGCTTTTTACTGGCTCATCATCCTGCGTGGAGGAAGGTAGCCTGCCCTGACTGTCCACAGCAGGGGAACAAGAGAAAGCAAGGGCCTGGGGTGGAATTCCGCAGGTGGCTCAGTGAAGGAGGAGTCAGAAGGGGAGGCCTGAGCTCCCAAGCTCCACTCAGGAGCTCAGAGAAGTTTCCAGCACTCTACTGGGGGCCAGGCCATATACTCAGCCTGAACTAAACAACGTCCTACACTGGTGTCAAGCAAGAAGCCCCCAGAGAGTCTGTGCAACCGTTATCCAGTGGTTCACGGCAGATACAGTGAGCCCTGACTGCATGAGGGGCGCGTGCCGGAATCAACACCATAGCACAGGCTTACACCCTCTACCACTCATGATCCAGGACATGTGTGTAGTTGCATGAAGTCACATGTACACGAAGCACGCAGCTGTGTTCCGAAGGACCAGCCAACGCAATGACCTTGAGAAGACTGTTTACAACAGAAAGACGGGAGTCCTGCTCAGAGAGTCACCTCGTACATGTCACCCACCTCCTCTGATTCTTAGTCCCCTCTCTGTGGGTGGGAAGAGGCTGCCTTGAGAGTCTAAGGAAGGAAAGGATGTGGCGCCCAGCCCAGCCACACAGAGCTCCTGGGCTGGCACCGAGTTCACTGGCCTGGAGAGAGATGTACTCCCCCCAAGCTGGTAGAAGGTTGCTGGGTCAAGAGGATCCCAGGCAGGCTGGTGGGGTGGGGGTGGGAGGCAGGCATCCTTCCTGAGGACTTGTGGGGGTTGGGGTAGTGGCATGTTCAGTGGTTGGTTCCTGGCCTGTGTCCTCAGGTCACCCAGGGCCGTACCAAGCAGGCTGGCCTATGCCCAAGAGCTTGTCCCAGTCTTGCCTGTGATGCAGATGGTGGGCCGCTTGCGGAGGGAAATCCCCAGCTAGGTCTTCAGGGCTTTTTATCTGCATGAAGCAAGGTTATGAAGGGACCTTCCTCTATCGGCTGGGAGGGGTGTTCAGAGGGCTGGAGGGAGCAGGGACCCCAAGCTTAGGCAACGCATTCCCCAAGCTGGATGGAGGCCATGGGTAAGTAGCAAAGCTCTATCCGGAGCAAGTGCAGAGTCCTTTGGGAACAGTCATCTCTCTGGACTTCTCCCTGGGTCCCTGGGAAACCAGAGCCACATTGTGTCACACACATCACTTCCGGCTGGGCCCCACTGAGTCTCCAGGCTTCGTGGCTCCCCTTACTAAGCGGCAGCCACAGAGGACTTCCCTCCTGCTCTCTCTCACTGCCTCTGTACCCCAGAACTTCCTCATTGCTGAGCCCTTGCCTGGAATGCTGTTCCCTTTGGAAGCCAGGCTCTGCTCGCCAGGGCCTGCTGGAGGCTGTTTCGGGTCAAGTCCTGGCCCCAGGTTTGTGTATGTGACTCAGTGTTCTTTTGACCAAAAGAGCCTAAACACCAGGTTCCAGTGGAGCTGGGCCTCTCCCAGTTGGCAAAAACACACCCGTGATACCCTTCTTCCTGGCAGCTGAACAGGCTAAGTCACCCCCTGCTGACCCATCCCCCTCATTGGGCACTTGTTGAGCAGTTAGCTAGGGGATTCCTAAGGGACCTGGAGGTGTGGGTGTGGTCGGAACCGAGGAAGTAGAGAAGGAAAGGAGATTCTGGTTAACAGCAGGGAGAAAGCAGGAGGTGAGAAAGCAGGGGCGGGGGGCGGCACGCCAGGGATGAGGACAGAGCGCGCAAAAGTACTGAGCCAGAGGAAGGGCTGCTGGTGGGGGAGAACTCAGCACCTCACCGTGGTATCTGTGGAGCTGAAATTAAAGCGTGGTCCCAGGAGTGACACACTCCGTCTTTCCCACTAGGACCGTATGTTGTTCGCTCCGTTGCTGGCAGAATTTGAATGTAATGGATCGCCAATGTGTAGTAGCCAGGAACTGACAACTGACTCCCAGGGTGCATTACTGCAGGAAGAGCTGGCCATGAAGAGGCTGAGATCTTTGGGCACCTGAAGGCCTTGGTGTGGGCATAGGTGTCCTATGCTGGGAGCAGCTGGCATGAGTAAGCAAGAGAGGGGAGGAACACCCCAAGAGTCCCACCAGGAATGTTTGTGGCCTGTAAAATAAGAGTATAAGATTTTTTAGGCCCAGAGAGGGTCCTGTTCAACCTGAACAGGGAAAGAATGAATCTGGTATGGCCTAGCACATTTCCCCCTGCTCCTGTGTGCCCACGGTCTGCCACAGACACCACACAGTAGGCGCTGCTGAGATCCCCTGCTCCTGTGTACCCATGCTCTCTGCCACAGACACCATACAATAGGTGCCTCTGGGATCCATGTCAGATGGATGGACCACACAGAGCTGTCCCATGGTCCTGTCCACGGTAAAAAAATAAACTTCGCTGGGCAGTGGTGATGCACGCCTTTAATCCGAGCACTCGGGAGGCAGAGACAGGAGGATCTCTGTGAGTTCGAGACCAGCGTGGTGTACAAGAGCTAGTTCCAGGACAGGCTCCAAAGCTACAGAAAAACCCTGTCTCGAAAAAACAAAACAAACAAACAAACAAAAAAATAAACAACCCAAAAAAACAACAACAGAAAAAAACCTTACCTCCATCCCAGGATGGTAACTAAGTCCACGGGGCCTGGAAATCACAGTCCTGACTGTGAAGGGGGAGCTGATGTGCACCTGGGGTCAAGAGGCCGCAGAGGACCAGCAGCAGGCGCCTCTTCCAGAAACAGCTGACCTTGACCTGTAGCAGAGAAAATGCTCTGTGCTCTAGATCATTCTGTTGCTGTGATAAAGCACTCCGACCAAAAGCAATCTGGGGAGAAAGGACGTTACTTGTTTATTTATTATTTTGTTTATTTTATTTATTTATTTGAGATGGGGCTTCTTCATGTATCCCTAGCTGTCCTGGAACTCTTTCTGTAGACTAGGCTGGTCTCAAACTCACAGAGATCCACTTACCTCTGCCTCCCTAGTGGTGAGATTAAAGGCGTGGCTAAGAATTAAGGTATTTGACCCTGGAGTGATGGTTAAGAGCACTTGCTGCTCTTGCGAGGTCCCAGGTTCATTTCCAAGGACCCACATGGCGGCTCACAACCATCTATAACTCTAAGTCCAGGGGATCTGATGCCCTCCTCTGGCCTCTGCAGGCATTACACTCACACAATGCACATACACACAGGCAGGCAAAATATTCATAGACATTAAGTCTGAAACAATGAAAAGAATGAAGAGACGTGCATGCCCTCCTTTGAGCTACCGGAGTATAATCCCCTGGGAAGTGAGAATTGGGAAAGAGTTCCTGGTTATGTACATTAAGATGGGAGCTGTGCTGGCCTTCCCAGGTCCCTGCCAGCTCCTAGCACGCGACAGCAAGGCGATATTCTACAGCAGAGCAGAAGAGGGAAGCTGCATGCCTTGGGTCACTTTTTCTGGAAGGGTTACCCTGAAAATAGGAGTGTAGCTACCGTGGCTTGCTGTGTTCACAGCTGACCAGGCCTGGACCCTGATCCACAAGGTAGAGGATAGATTCAGTCTGGAGCCCTCTGGAAGACACAGACTCATTGATTTGTCCTTGTGGGGACCCCAGGCTGTGGCCCAAGTGGGGTCACACCACACTGGAGCTCCTCTTCACTGAATTGTGACCACAGATGAGAGCTGCTTTGAAGCCGAGCTGGTGTTGATTTGTAATAAGAGACCACTGCCTGGGCCAGAGAGAGAGCTCGGCAGTCACGATCTGTGCTCTGTTGTGAGGACTGAACAGATCCCAGCACTTAAACTGTGGAGCTCACAACTACCTAAAGCTCCAGCTCCTGGGGATCTGATGCCCTCTTCTGACCACTGTGTTCTCCTAAACACATACATGTACACACACACACACACACACACACACACACACACTAATAAAATTAAACCTAAGAAAGTCACCTGCTAGTCATGTGCAGTGGCTTAGGAGGCAGGAGTTTTACTGTTTCAAAGCTGTCCTAGACTATACAGCAAGACTTTGTGTCAATAAACAAAAATGTGGGTGGTGGCTCTACAACAGAACACTTGCCTAGCACGGCGGGAGGCCTGGGTATCATCTGCAGTGCTGAGAAGAGGAATGGGCAGGGAGGCAGGTGCGTTAGCAAAGGGCTCGTCCAGCAGGCACGAAGCCTGTTTCAGATCCCCATCACCGTATAAACCAGTATGGCGCCCTACACCCCTAGTCCCAGCCTAGGGAGGGGGAAACAGGAAGAGCAGACGTTCAAGGTCATTGGTCATCCTCTGCTACACTTTGAGGCTAGCCTGGGCTATATAAGACTGTCTCTAACCAAAAACAAAAACACTAAAAAGGAAGAAAAAGAACGAAAGGAAAAAGTTGGGCGTGCTGGTTCACACCTGGAACTCTAGTGTCTGAGGCAGAAAGACCACTAGAGGCCAACCTGGGCTAATGTGTGTTCTAGGACAGCCTGAGCTACATAGTGAGCTCTTGTCTCACAAAAATAAGCGGGGAGGGAAAGAAGGCAGGCAGTTTAAATTTGAAAAACTGATGCCCATCGCAGCTCTGGCCTCAGGAATGACCAGATCCAACCATTTCATTTTTCTTCTACTTCCCCAGCTGGCCACCTCTTGAGATTCTGGCCCAGTCTCCCTGTGGTCCCAGTGCTACTGGCGGGCACTGCACTGCCAGGAGAGTCTATGGAAAGAGTCGCAGCCTCTGTCCCCATTATTTCTCCCAAGCTGTGTCCCCAGGGTTCTCTTGGGCTAGAAACCCGTATCTGAGCCCAGCCCTCTGGGGTTCTGTTCAGCCTGGCCTGGTCACACACAGTGACAGGGAGACCTGTTGGTGACAGGTGGATTAAGATTCTACTGGAAAGAGAACACCCTGTTTTGCCTTCTGGATACTGACAATGTGCTCAGTAGGCTAAGCCTGGTCTCCTATGTCCCAGGACCCCAAAGGATGGCTCAGAAACTCCAGGGACCCCAACTGTGCCAGCCATAGTCCAGCCTCCCATCCAGGGCTGAGCGGGCACCGCCGCCCTGGGAGGCTGCTGGCTCCTCTGCGCTCCACAGGGACAAAATAAATAAACCTGATAAACTGGTATTTATGCCACAGCCTGGGGCAGCCACAATTCACTGGGCAAATATGGTCAAAACTCAAGTCCACAGACAACCAGGCTGTCACACAGGGAGCCCACTGCATCTCCCATGGGCCACCTCTGACCTCTCTCAGGACACTCCCAGGAGCAAAGAGTTGACTTGTACTCTGGCTCTGTGGGCCAGACATGAGCTGCAGCCTCCCCCCGCCCCGGGCAGACCCCAGAGATGAGCTGCAGCCCCTCCCCCAGCCAGACCCCAGGGATGAGCTGCAGCCTCTCCCCCCCGCCCCCCCCCCCCCCACCCCCACCCCCCAGACCTCAGAGACGAGCTGCATGCCCCGCCCCCGGGCAGACCTCAGTTATGAGCTGCAAGTCCCTCCCCGGGGCAGACCCCACAGATATCTCAGGTGAAGAACCAGCCTTCAAGGGTGAATTCAGGAAGCAGATGCTGCCTGCTTCAGATTATGTCCAGGACTACAGAATGGTTTAAATTATTTGTTTGTGACTGGGTCTCACTTAGCTCAGGCTAGCCCCTGCCTCCTGTGTGCTAGGATTGCAGAAGTGTACCACCACGCCTGGCTTACACAGGGCGGGGAATAAACACAGTCCCCTGTGCCTCTATGCTCTATGTCAGTGCTCCACCCACGGAGCAGCCATTCCCCCTCGCTCCCCACTCCCCAGCCTCTAAGTTCTTTGGAAGTGAAGCCAGCACTGGAGGCTGGCTTGTCTTGAGGGGCCGGAAACACCCTACCTCCACTAAGCTCAAGGTTCAGGATGGAGAGAGAGAGAGCAACTGAAGGGACTTGGGACCACACCAAGAAGCTTGCCCAGCAGTGGGAAGAAGAGGGCAGGAACCACTGGGGCACTAAGCACAGAGCTAAGCGCATATACAAAAGCGCTGTGGGCAAGGGGTGCTTTGGCGGGGTGCCATCCTCCACAGACTTTACTGAGCACCAAGTGTGTTCCAGATGGGGCCCTGGATACTAGAGTGACAAAATTCCCTTCCTCCCTACTGGGATCACAGGATCCAGCAGAATCTGCTCCCCAATATGCCCTCAGGCTCCTAGGCTTCCCAGTGCAGGTGACTTGGTGAAGAAGGGCCGGCAGAGACCTCTCTCAGCCCCTCCTCGAGCCCACCACTAAAAAGCTGGTGTCCGCACACCCTGAGCCAGGATCACTCTGCAGGTAGTCTGGGTGGGCTCAGGTGATGATAGTTTTGTGTGTGAGACTGTCTGAGATCTCATTCCATCCCAACGCAGTGTTCCCATGCACACAGCAGGCTGTGCCCGTTTCCCAGACAAAGCTCAATATGGGTGTGACATGCCACCTGCCTGCCACACCCAGGCCCTAGGTCCCCACCCCAGCTTCTGTAGCTTGGGGCTAGAAAGTGCCACCCTATTGTTGTTTTTGACCCTCAACCAACCAACCCTTCAACCTGGCCTGTCATTCCCCTTCATAAATTTTTTTTTAAAAATTTCATGTGCATTGGTGTTTTGCCTGCATGTAAGCCTGTGTGAGGGCATCAGAAACCCTGGAACTTGAGTGACAGACAGTTGTGAGCTGTCATGTGGTGATGTGGGATTCCCCTCTGTATGTAGTGAATACCACTGGTGAGTAAAGAAACTGCCTTGGCCTGTTGATAGGGCAGAACTTAGCTAGGCAGGGAAAACTAAATTGAAAGCTGGGAGAAAGAAGAGCAGAATCAGAGAAGCCATTGAACCGCCTCAGAAGACAGATGTGCCGAAACTTTGCTGGTAGGCCACGATTAATAGAGATGGGTTAAAGTAAGATGTTAAAGTTAGCAAATAAGAAGCTAGAGATAATGGGCCAAGCAGTGAATTAAATAATATAGTTTCTGTGTGGTTATTTAGGGGCTGAGCAGCTGGGAACCTACAGTGGCCTCCTCAGAACAAAGTGGTGCTGGGAACTGAACCCAGGTCCTCTGGAAGAGCAGTTAAGCCGTCTCTCCAGCCCCAGTTTCCCAAAGATGACCTCTTTACTCCTGGTGTCTTTCCCACCAGTCACAGGGGACACCCCCTGCTCCTCCAGCCCAACCTCAGGACATTTGCAGGTGCACTGCCTGCACTCCTCCCTGGCTACACCCAGAAGTGAGCAGCGAGCCTCTCTCCCATCTCCCTCCCTCTCTCCTTTTCTCCAGGCACTTACCTCCTCTCTTGACAAGGTTCTCGGTCATCCAGTCATCCCTCAGGAAAGCACAGTGCTCTTTCAGGAGGAGATGGCACATTCCTCAGGGGACTTTGAACACGCTGCCACACTGTGCGTGCTCAGAGATGATGTCTGTTGTTCTTCGCTCCCGAAGGCTAATGTGAAATACTCTCCACAGAACTGGAAGCTGCCCCTGGGTGACTCTGGGGCTCATCACCTGACGTCAGTGGTCAAGAGGACCCACTGTTTCCCTGAGCCAGCCCTTGGCCTCACACAGATGTGGTCAGCTGACCAGTAAGAGATGGGGAATGGCAGCCTTCCCTGAACAGCTATGCAAAACCTGGCTGCAGGAGGGGCTCAGCCAAGCTGGTGTGTGTGTGTGTGTGTGTGTGTGTGTGTGTGTGTGTGTGTGGTGTCCTTGTAAGTTCTGCTAGAGAGGCAGAAGGCAGAGTCCTGCAGATCATGCTGAAAGCTTCAAAGGAGGAAAATATTAGCCCTAAACAAGAAATTACTGTCTAGAAGTGAGCCATTTGGGTTGGCTACCAAGAGGGATCCGTGTGCACACGTGTATGTGTGTGGTGCTGGAGAGGAAATCCAGGGTTTTGCCATACCCATCCTAACACTGAAGTGCATCCGAAGCCCTCCAATGTGGGGTTCTAAGATACTTTATGACTTTTGTGTACTGTCTCCTCATTCCAGAAGGTTCTTTTCTGTCCCCCCCCCCAGCTGTATGTTTCAGTTGCTATATAAGGAACTCCCCCAAACTTAGTGTTTGTGGCTTAGTGTTGCACACTCCTTTGACTCAGCACAGGGCCTGGCCCTAAGTACAACTCCTGCGTCCTGTGTGGTAGGAGGCTGAGGCAGGAAGATCTCAAGTTCCAGGACATAGCCTGGGATACAGAGAAAAGCTGTTTCAAAAACCTAAGAATGTAAACAGTCAGTGTCTTCAATCTCTACACACAGACATGCACAAAAATTACCCCATTGCTTCTCTATCAGAGTACGATTATCAGGAGCAGGTGGATCTCTGTGAGTTCGAGGCCAGTATGGTCTACAAGAGCTAGTTCCAGGACAGGCATCAAAGCTACAAAGAAACCTTGTCTCAAAAAAACAAAAAACAGGGCTGGAGAGATGGCTCAGCGGTTAAGAGCACTGACTGCTCTTCCAGAGGACACGGGTTCAATTCCCAGCACCCACATGGCAGTTCACAACTGTCTGAAAATCCAGTTCCAGGGGATCTGACACCTTCACACCAATGCACATAAAATAAAGTTAAGTAAACCATAAAAATATTTTAAAAAAACAACAAAAAACAAAACATATATTAAAAAACAACAACAAAAAAAAACAACAAAAAAAAGTTGTACAGAGTGTGATTATCTGTACTGCAATTGACATGTATTCATTTATTTATTTAGTCACATTTCTTCTGAGACAGGGTTTCCACTCTGAAATAGACAGGCTCCAAACTCCAGACCGGTCTCAGTCTCTTGAGTGCTGAGATTATAGGCTTAAGCTACAATACCCAGATTCTAGCAGGACTATCTCTATCTATAACTTTGAATACCTCTATTCTTAAAACCCTCTAAAAAGGCCCCCATTGCCAGGCAGGGGCCAGCAGGTGGCACCCAGGGTCTTGCTGGAGCTGGGGGTGGGGTGGTAGGGGCTCCCCGTCTCTGCTCTCAGCCCTCTTCGCCCGAGCACCCAGGGATAGAATAACAGGCTGATAAGCAAAGCCTGACTCTTATCAGCAGCCCCAGGAGGTACTGGAAGGGCCAATGCCACCGCCACCACTGCCTGAGGTGTCATCGAGACAGGGAGCTCTGGGGAGCTGTATCTAGACATCCAACCTGTTGCCTGGGGTCCTCGTTCAGTGTTTACATGTCTGAGGAAAAACACCAGTGTGACTCAGCAGGCAGAAAGGGCCATGTGTGGGGGTGACGCCCAGATGGCTGTGGGTGAGGTGGAAGAGATGGGGCAGTGACCTGGTTCTGCAGTCTTATGTGGCCAGATTCAAGGTGCTTGGGTTAAATCCAACCCAGTCACTCCAGCACTCTGGCAGAACCTAAACACAACTGGATTTCTCGGCCTGAGCTGCCTATTTGGCACAGCGAGGGTCAACCCACCATGGGGAACCAGGGTCCCAGGGAGATGTCAGATGCGGAACCCAGAAGTTCCCAGGCTCCAATGACAGCCTGAGGTCTGGAGACATAAGTCTGAAGCTGGTGGTGTGGCTGTCGTAGCTGGAAATGGGGGTCCTTTCTCTGGGGAGCAGAGGCTTGAGCTCAAAGGGTGATGTCACAGGAAATGGGGTGTTATTCTTCCTCTGACTGCTCAGTCTTTCCTGGGGCTCCCAAGCTGAGTGCCTACCTCACATCAGACCCTGCTGGCTGCCAATTCTCCCCTTTCTGTTTAGGAACTTGGTAATGAGCCAGTTTATAGGAGATTTAACTGTGGTTGGGTCAGCTCTCCAAGGGCCAGGAGGGCTGCTGGAGCTCCAGCCCTCATGTTCAAGGTCTAGAGTGGTAGAGCCCGATATGGCTTCAGCAGCGGCCCTTCTACTGCATCCTGGCTGCAGTAGGTCCTTGGGAGAGAGGCCTGTACACTTGGAAGAACGGAGGCACGGCAGGGGACTAGCCGAGATGCTCCACCTGGCACTCATGGGCACCAGCTGGCCAGTGGGTCACAACACAGAGGTATAGGAAGGCAGGAGCTGAAGCCTGAATGAAATCACTTGCTCTGTCCCCAAGCCAGCTCCCCTCGAGAGGGCTGTCTGTCACACTGCCTGGGAGGGGTCTCAATGAGAAACTGAGGCCGCTGAAGCAGAGCCAAAGGCAGCTACTCTCCCAACCCTGACCAGTATTACAACTCTGCCCTAAGGATCACGGGGGATCTATCCCTGAGGACCAGTCTCTAGTGTAAAGGGAAGCGGTTGGTCAACAAGACCGTTTGGTTCCCAGCTCTCCTTGCCTACCCACTGGCAGAGACCTCTTCCTCACTGAGACACTCAGGGTTATCTGTTCCTAGCCTGTTTCCCCCAGAGGAGTCCCTCTTCCTCCTGGAGTTCCAGAAGGCTCATGTGGTTCTTTGTGACCCAGACAGGGCCTACACCCATGCCAGTGACTCACAGCAGTGGGTGTCCAGGGGCAGGGGGCCCACTGAACAGGGTAGCGGAGAGATGGAGACTATGCAGTCGGTCATGTGGCAACTGGACCTTAGTTAAGCTTTGGGTTCTGGGCAAATATGGTGAATGACGCTCAACTGAATGGTCCATACAGGACAGCGTTGGGCTGTGTCTCTCTTATCTGGGCTGCTGCCCCTCTGCATTTAGGCCAGAAGGAAAAGCTGCAGCAGAGAGTGGCAGCTGGCTGTCCCTGCACAGAGAAGGTCCAGCCCAGGGCCTGAGGTCCCCTCCTTTGTCCAGCCATCCAGACCCCCCCCCCCCCAGGTCTAGCTTCTCCCTCAAGTGACTCCAGCTCAAAACTGTAGCTGAGTCTCTGCTCCAGAGGCCATGGTCCTCACCTAACACACAACACAGATGACACACACAAACCCTCTTCATACTATCCGGTATGTCTGGTTCTGGGGTGTGTGTGCACATGAACAGGCGTGTGTTGCTTTGCAGACGTCTGTGCAAGTATACATTTGAGCCGAGTCGGGTGTGCGTGTGGAGTTTTGTGTGTATCCCTATGACTAGCTGGCTGAACCTTTATGTGGAGGGCGAGCACACTAATGTGTATGCAGTCTGTAAGCATTTGCTTGCACAGGAATGCGCCCGGCCATCGGCCTCCTCTGGGTCACACTGTGCACCAGGTCTGTGCTGGAGGCTAGGAACAGATTTCTGGGACAGAAATCCTGTCCTTGGGAGGTGAAGCAGTGAAAAGCCCTGTCCTGGGACAGTGTGGGCTCTCCTAACCTTTCACCATGCTGCACCAGGGACAGTGACTCCCCACTTGCCACCTGTACCTGGAGACATCCCATGGGAGACCCCTGTAGCAAGAGCAGCAGCTATCCTTGTAATTATTGATGGCAGTGTGGCTGTGCTGATGGCACTCAGCCCGTCGTGTCCCTGGCACAAAACAGCGCCTATTGCTCTCCTAGGTTTGCCCTGTTTAGAGCCCTCAATCCTAAGACCCAGGAGGGCATTATCCAGACCAAGGGGCCTTCCCTGAGGGCCTGCCCCTGTGGCTGCCACCAGCTGATAGAGACAGGAAGTATGCTGGCTTCACGTGGCCTTCCTGATAACCCTGGCAGTGCCCGCCACCCCTCCCTGGCCCCACACACTTATCAGCAGCAACAGATGTCAGCTGTGGTTAGGAGCCCCCACATTGACCTTCTGACCCTTTAGTGTTTGCAAACTGACACTTGGAGGTGGAGGCCTGCGATGAAAGCAAACCCAGCCCTGACAGCGCAGCTGGGCCTGGGTCACAGACGCTCCAAGCGCATCTCACAGTAAAACTAAGTGGAAACCAGATGGGGTTTTGGGGAACCTAAGGGAACAGTGCAAGAAATCAACCCCAGGGCCACTTCTAAAGGCTTAAGCATCAGGGCCAACAGTGAACCCTGCCCAGACCTGGCTGCACCTACCTTGTGGATTAGAGTCCTCTGGTTCAGACTGCTGGGCCATACTGGGGCTGGCCCTGCTTGTCTCTGAAGTTAACAGATCAGCAGAGGCTGAAGCAGGGTAAGGGTTTGATGAACAGCTGTCAGAAACCCTGGACACAGGACCACCATGGCCACTGAGAGAAAAACTTTGGACAGACTTTCTCTTTAAAGAAAACAAGTTTTATTTTTATAATCAGAATATTCTAATAAAAATATTATTATAACATTACTCCCTCTGTCCTCTGGGCTGAGGAGCAGGCATGCTGCTGAGGGCCTTCACACTGGCTCCCTGAGGTAGGTGTGGAAGGACCCACTGCCCAGCCTGCGGGCAGCCCACGCTGCCAGAGATGCCCACTGCACCCTTCCCAGACACGGGTGGGACTTCTCCCTCTGTGCAGTCAGGTCATGCTTCTGGACTGGCACGCAGGTGACTACAGGAGGGTGGATGGGCGGGCACAGAGCCTGCTTAGAGGGTGCAGGGCCAGGAAGAAGGCCTCAATGGCACAGCAACAGACACCTGAGAATTCGCCCTGACGGGCACCTCTGCAGGTAAGGTGGGCAGCATCAGACAGACGGGAGCCCAGGGCCCTGCAGGGCTGTGGTCTGGCCACCCCATGGGGAAGTGGGTGGCTCCAGGCATCCCATCAGTGACACTATCACAGAGAAATACTGTCATTGTCTCCACAGGGAACTACTGACCAAAGCCAGTCTCTAAGTAAAAAACAGGTTTGGAGTTCTTGGTGATGATGGTCTTGCCTTCATAGGAGAACAATTCCAACAGGACATGGCACAGTGCTTCGACTTGAGGGGCAATGGGCGGGGTTCCCAGAGAGGAAGGCAGACGTCTGTACACATCCCAGAGTAAGGCACCTGGCATGGAGTGGCTGCAGAGATTCCCAAGAGTGTACCCTTACTTCTCATGGCCTTCCTCAAGGCACAGCAGGGCCTGGGCTGGAGAAGATGCTGTCTGGTGCCCTCAGCAGGTGGGCCCAGGGCCCTGAGGAGACCCAAGTGCTGGTGGCTCCTGAGGCTGGCAGGCGGTGGCTGTGGCCCTAGGCAGGACGCGCCTCATTGCATCCTGTCAGGTTGTAGCTGAGGCGCCTGATACTGCACGAAGGTGGTGCCTGCAGGTGCAGCGGCAGACAAGGCTGGGGGCATGGCAGCTGGGTAGCCATAGCCCACGAAGCTGGTGGCTGTGGCAGGCGAGGCAGCGTACGGGTACTGGTCGTAGGCGGCTGGAGGGTACTGGGCATAGGCTGGACTGCTTGGTGTATACTCAAGGTAGGGCGAGGACAGTGACGGGACAGGGGTGGCAGGTATCACCACGCTGGGCTGCACAATGGCTGGCGGGTAGATGTAGTGCGGAGTCAGCCTGTGGGCCAAGCAGAGTGTCAGGGGCTGTAGGCAGAAAGGAACACAATGGCGGCAGAGTGGGGGAGGCTAAGGGTCTGGGGGTCAAAGG